CCCAAGTCGACTGATGGCTCTTGTTCTTTACTCCAGTTTTTATTAGGCTTGGATTTGGAAGTCCATACTCCCTAAATAACAATTAACTGTTAATTTTTTCATTGCCACCATAAATTTAAACACCTAGAAATTACATGTGTCTGTTGTTCCAAATGTAATTATGGTGATGGAAATCAGCTTATTCAAAAGGTGTAGTCAGTCACTGAGTTAAAACTTTTAATTTGATTAGCTGGTTCAGCTAACACAGAGTGCTTTATTTTACTGTCTTGCATAATATGACACTTGTCATGCAGGATGTTATTTATAATAGAAGTAACGTTCTAGCAGGTCAAGAACGAATTGTAAAGTAAATTATAAAGTGTACCTGCATTTCTCGTTAATTGCAATGGACCTTTTAATTGCTATACTATACACTGTTCCTGACTAGAATAAAGAAGTAGATCTTTATGGAATGCTTTTTGTTTCTGAACTCTGAAACCTTCTGTGCATGTGTGTATACATACATATGAATTATATGTATGTGGGGGGAGGGGGTGCATACATGTATATGTATGAAACATCTCTAAAAGAATTCCTGGAAAGTCTTAGGTTAAAAACATCCCCATTATACTGAGCAACATTTAAATTAGTCATCAAAGTTAAAAGAAAATAAAAATCCTTCCTTCATGATAGGAAAAGTTTAAATGTTTCAAGGGTTGCAGCTGAATTCATAAGGGTGATAAAACTGACAATGTACTTAAGATGAAAAAGGAATCTTGCCAATTGCTATCTCTTCTAGGAGACAAGAAATCTTTTTGATTTCTCATTCAAAATACTATGCAGCTCAATAATTTTGCTCGTGGGTGTATTGAGCTGAACACTATGTCTTTTCTGTGCCAGAATTAAAGTATTTAAACTTGTATCTTTCTCAGATACATCCTTAGGGTACCATCACATAATGTCTCCACTGAGCTATGCGCTTTATAAATGAGTAGAAGTGAGAGGAAATTAAAAAAATGAAGCTGTTCCTGAGAGCTTAGGTCTCAGGGAGCCTGGCCAGGTTGAGGAACAGAGGTTTTATTATGTGGTTCACAGTGTAACACTGGATGATGATTCCCAGATTTCCATAGCTGGAGCAGAAAAAGACACTACCTCAGAAAGATTCAAAGTTATGGTTCTGCTTTTAGGATTAGAGGGAGTTAGTTTTTCTTTATTTTTAGCATCTGCCTCAGTTTCACACAAAAAAATATTTTATCTGGTTTTAGATAACCTATTTTGGCTTGAGACAAGCATTTGACCTCTTTGACATAAACACTTCTCAGTGAAGAACACTGTAATAAATACAATGCTTTAAAGTTGGTTCTTCTCTGCATGTCCTGTACAACCAAAATGGGTAAGTTTGTGCATCAGGAAGGTCCAGAATTTCTGGCTGCATAACACTACTTTATAAGAGATTCAGAGACTAGTACATAGAAATATTAGTACAAGAAATACTAGAGTCCACCTGCTTCAGGACTTTTTGTTGATCTGGTCGCATTTCCAGAAATCCTGGACAAACAGCAGTCCCTGAAAACAGTCACTCTGAATTCCGTTAGAAAATCTAAAACAAAACCAAGAAAGTTAATTCTTGTGCTATTTATGGTGTTCACTTTTTTATGTATTTGTTTGTATAAATGTAAGTATATGTGTGCATCTATGGGTATACCTATATTTTATATATAAAGACATAAATAGTTTTGGAGGGTTTCATTTTCACAGTAAGTCTCATCTCCTTTTTTCTCTAAAGAACAATTTGGCACTAGTGGCTTGTGTTTGTTTAATTCTAGGCAGTTACGGAAGAGTAACTTGTTTATGAGCTTAGAAAAAAAAAAGAACATTGGTGGCCTCATATGTCTAGCAAATATTAGAATATACTGTATTAAGAACAAAAGCAAATAATCTGTTCTAGATCTAAAGCAGGAACTCGATCTAGAACTGTGTTGAGAGACTGTTGAGAGAGAAATTGGCCAAACGTTTCAGCTTATATATGTTAATATATTAAATATATTATAGAACAATTTTATTTATTTAAAAAATTATCACTTATCATAATAAAATATAATATTACAGTTAATTAATTTCTAAATCCAGCATTTTCATGCTCTAAATGTAATTATGAATATTGCCTTTTGGGTGTTAAAGATTTTTTCTCTTTGGTAACGGAGGCTGAGGGAAGATCTTATCACTCTCTACAACTACCTGAAAGGAGGTCATAATGAGCTGTGTGTCAGTCTCTTCTCCACAGTAACAAACAATAGGACAACAGGGAATGGCCTCAAGTTGTGCCAAGGGATGTTTAGATTGAATATTAGGAAAAATGTCTTCACAGAAAGCTGTCCATGGAAGTGGTTGAGTCACCACCTCTGGAGGAATTTAAAGGACATGTAGATGCGGCGCTTGGGGAAATGGTTGGGTGACAGACTTGGCAGTGCTTGGTTAACAGTTGGATTCAATGACTTTAAAAGTCTTTCCTTGTTTCTAATCAATTTTATGATCCTTGGCTGGTGCAGAGGCTTCTCCTTTCTTCACTTTCTAGTTCTCCTGAAGACGTGGCATGTTTAGGGCAGCCAGGCTGTGCGATGTACCATCTCACTAGTGAGGTCTGCTCAGGAGTGTTGTATTTGATACTTTGGTTTTTACTCTGTTACTTCAGAAGGGGGACTGTAGACCCTGTAGAATACTTATTCATCTAGTATAATGATGCTCACCTTGCAAAGATGCCTAGTTAAGGAAACATAATAAACACTAATAAGATGAAATACAGGTAAAGTCCTAGCAAAAGTTCTGTTAGTTTGCAAGTTTTGTAAAAGAATAGTTGTACGCTCCTAGTTTGTTTTTTTTTTAATAGTCAGCATTCCTAGCACAGAACTCTTTACTCTCCTCAAATCTAATCTTAATCTAGACAAATTTCTTGCTTATACCGTGAGGTCAGATGTTTATTTTTCTGTGAAATAGAACATAATTTAATTCAGCCTTATGCTTATGCCCCTCTTCGCTAGTGCAGTTTTCAGTGCTGACCAAATCAGACTTCTCCCATTTTACACTGTAACCTGGATGATGTTATTTAAAATGAATTTTAACAACTCTTATTTTTTCTTCCTTTGTATTCTCCCTAAGCAAATGCTTTTACTTAAAATATTAAGGAAGTAGCTTTCTTTCCTTGTAAATAAGTGTTTCAAATGCAGAACACTTATAGTCACTTGAATACTTTTATTCTCTGGAAATTACAGTGAGGGAAAAAGGAGTCATATAAGATTTTAATGACAAAGTTTTTTTAATATAGAGTGAAATGTTTTGGTGATTTGGATGCACAAACATCTGTAAGAGAGGTACTGACTGTTGGAAATTCTAAATTTTTATTCTGCTTGAATAAAAGCCTAATCTGTAGTTTCTGAGCTGTTTGTAAGACTCTGTGTGTGTGTGTGTATGCATGTGTGCAGGCAACTGTGTCAACCAACAACTGTTTTCAGTACCTTTTTGTTAAATGATGTGATACTGACACTTTTTCTCGATTCAATTTTGCCTGAAGCTTAGTCCTGTATCTTTTCTAAAGAGACTTCTTTGCTTAAGCTGGCCATCAGAAAACATAGCTTCCTAAAAAAAAAACCAAAAACCCACAACAAAACAGACATTAAAAGAAAAAAAAAAAAACACACCAAAAATTCAAAGAAAGGAGAGCATAGTTCAAAATAGATGTTGTTCCATGTAACTTCTCAGTGTGTTTTGTGGGCAGTGACCAGCATGGTAAGTATGGGGCACTAGAGAAAGCTCATATAATTTTTATTCTTTAATATAATTTTGCATTCAGAAATAATATATTAATAATAGCGACCTTGATTCTTCACTGTCATGTTATGTTCTTAAATATTAATACAACTTTTATTATGTATAATGTAAGACTAACCTCTCAAACTCAGTTGGATCTTGGAAATAACCATAACAATAAAAAAAAACCCAAAACAAACCCAAACCAATAACCTGGCTTTACATCTTTTTCTTTGATCTCAAATAATCTTAACTAAATAATAGCAAAAAACCTCTATTATTATGTAAAAGTGATTGTTTAATTTAATTGCTAATGATTTGATCTTTTCATACAGGTAATATTTAGTGAAACATCAGTTTTGTGAATAAGTTTGGTGGATAAATTACAAGCATATTATATAAAACATAATTTTTTCTTCAAATGGGATCCGCTCATAATGTAAATCCCAAAGGGTTCACATCCTGTCAATGCTCTTCCCTGCTGCTCTTGAAATTTTTTTGCAGGCATCTCTTGATAACTTTGGAAGCTTTTGCACAAAAGTTCACATCTCGATATATTTATATAGTCATGGTGAAAATAACCCTACCTGACTTTACACACCTGCAATGTTTATGTTTTGGATGAGAAAATGAACAGATGAGTTGTAGATTGAGACAAAACAGACATCTGAAGTTATGTGCCATGCATAAATCCTATCCTATTCTTTATTATGGACTGCAAACCTCACCTACTTTTTGTGAATTCTTGACTGGAATGCTTTACGCAAACTATATGGCACAGTCACTGAAATATTTTTTACCTCAATATGTTCAAATGAGTGTGTGTCATTTGTTACAGATCCAGTTTGGTAAAACTTGATGTTAGAATCCTTAGTTGCTGACACTCGACTTCCCTGTTGTTAGTTCACACAAAATTCTAGTCTAAATAATTAACAGTTCTAGGTTCTGGTGTGCTTGTTTGCTACCTGTCATATGTAATTTGGAAGCTGAATTTAGTGATGTTATAAGTGATACCTTGAGCTTTTCTTTTAAAATACATTTATTTCCGTATCAAAAGAGTGTTTGTCTGATAATTTTGATATGAAGAAATCTATGGCACACATAAAAATAATTAATATAAATGATAAGAATTAGTTATGCCTCGTGTTTCAGTATGGATAAGCACTTCAATATAAAAATAAGTTTATAGAAACATTGATTTCAAATTTTTATTACAGACTAGAGGAAGAAAAGAATATTTTATCAGAATTTCAAGAGGATTTGAACAAGTTGATTTTATGGTTAGAGGAAGCAGACAGTGTTATTGGGATTCCCCTTGAACCAGGGAATGAAGACCAGTTGAGAGACTGCCTTAGTAAAGTAAAGGTATTGTAAGCTTTATTCTTAATGTTCTCTTACTTTATGAATTCTACATTGAAGAGAATTAAAGGCTATTTTTTGAAAAGGTTTCTCCCATCAAATACAGCATTCATTTAACATTTTTAGATAAATCAAAGCAGTGGAATTTCAAAACCCAGGAACAAATATATACTGATCATATTAAAACAAGAAAAGTTATGGAAAATATACCAAAAGGAAAATATTTGTCACTAGACAATTAATCATTATCTTTTTCATCCTCATTTCTTAGTTCAGAACTTGACTGGTTTATATGTACTACATTTCTCTATAGGTGACTTGTTAATGTTTTATGACTTCTGACTTGTTAAATGGTATTCAGTATTTCATAAGGGGACCCAGAATTGTATGAATAATTATAAATGTCAACTCATTAAAGTATTACTGCAACATTTTCTAGACTGAACATCTAGGTGACTTATTTTTAAAAATGCTTTAACCCCCCCATCAGAATATTAAATATTTGTTTTTAAAGGCTGGAATATTTTCATTAATAAGTTGGAACTTTGATACTGCTAATAAATGTATTCAACAGAAGTTGCTCTGTTTAGTTTTTTGAAATGTGCTCAATAAAATGACTATCTTTTATAATTTGAACAATAATAAATTAAACTGTAATTGGAAATTGCATATTACTTATAGAACATATGCCTAAAGGTTTCCTGTTCTCTCTTGAGTATAAGGACTTAGTTATGCTTTATGTCAATCCAAGCTGAACAAATTCAGCAAGTGATATATAGAGCATTAAGGAATCAGAAGAAAACTTGTCAGCTTGTTCTATCCTTCTTTCAACAAAATATGAAAAAAAATTCCAAAGGATTCTTTAGTAAAATTCTATCTTTAATTTTCTTTTTAAATAAAAACAAAATAGAATAAATAGCATTTGAGGAAACAGAAACTTTACCATGTGCTGAATTTTTCTCTCTGACTGGTTAGCATAAGATGTCAGTGAGTTGGTCAGAGGATTTGTGAGGCTCTGTCTCTGTTGTTAAAGATATTAGACCCAAGGCAAAGAAATACTTACAAGGGGTGTTAGATGCATCTTATCATTTGCAGACATGATTAAAGGTTTAAGGTCTAAATTGATTGTTTAGAACCATGAAGGTGCTCCACTCCTCATATATACACAAATATTTCCTAATTATAGTATTTCCAAAGGATATATAATCCAAAATTAAAGGTGTTAAACATCTCTTATTTGTATCTTGTTTTTACAGTCCACCTTCTTCTGGAGCTGCACAAAAGGGAATACATCCTAATGCAGCCAATAACAATTCATTGACTTGCAGCCTGGCTAATTTCATACCTACCTGCCTATGTTAATAATAAAAAACAAACAAGAAAAAAAAAAAAAAACAAACAAAAAAAAAAAAAAAAAAAAAAAAAAAAAAAAAAAGAACAAAACCCTCAAAGAAGAGTCTATGAGCTACCTTAACCTTACTTGATATGTTAACTTAGTTTGACAATATAAGTTTTCAGTAACTACACACATGATGGAGAATTGAAACATTTAGATGCTGCCTTGCATTCTTTGGCTTTCATTTATAGTTTTTTTTAATGAACATACATGAACAATCTTAATTAAGAGGTTAGACTGGAGGGCTTTTCACCACATACCATCTGTGTGGCTGTTCACAGCATGGAACATATTAAAACCGTTCTCCAAAATGCTTGCTCCTCACCATATTAAAAGATTATTAAAATTCATATGCATGAGGTATTGAGTGTTCAGAGGTAGAATTTATAATGTAATAGTGATTAATATCTTGAGGAAACCTATATTTTGCATTTAGGACTCTCTTTAGGCTTGATTCACTAATACAGTCTCTTTTGGGGTTTTTTTTTAGCCTTCTACATTCAGAAAGCAACAGTTATTTTGCCTTGAATTGAGTTTATTCCTTCAGCTGATACACAAATCGATAAGGGTGAAGATAAGAGAGCTGGAAATTCTGCCACAGTTCATCTTAACTGCTGTATTTGTCTGTTCCAGTTAAGAGTTGAAGAGCTGCCGCCCCACAAGGGAATACTGAAACGATTAAATGAAACTAGAGGAATAGCACTTGGAAGTGCATCACTGAAGCCAGACAAAAAACATAAGCTTGAGAGTACACTGAAGGAGGCTAACCATCGTTTGTTAAAGGTTAGACATATTACTGTTATAACTGTGGTGTAAAATTTTAATCTGCAGTGAATATTTGCATTATATATTTTCTGGTATGTATCATTTTTTTCTGTATGAACAGACATTTGTATGCATAATGAACCTGAGGAAGAAAAATGTATGCAATACACTGCTGTGAGAAACAATGATAGCAAACCAAGACCATTAGTGCCTGAAGTGACGATGTTGCATTCAAATTACAGGTCTTCTGCTTCAGGGTGAAAACGCAGAGCATCATTTCTGTAGCCTGGTGCTTTTGCTGGTACAGCAAATATTCCAGGCTTTGTGACTCAGGTGTGTGAGAGGCAGTAGCCTCTGGTTTTCTTTATGGAAACACTTCCCAATTCTCTTCTGTTCCAAATCCCAAGGTGGAAGCTGCACCCTCTGTCTCACCTTCCACCTTGTTTCTTCCAGCCTCGATCATTCACTTTTGTTTTCTGTGTAGCAAAATACCACTTATTTTGCTTTCTGGGATCTCCATACTCATGGAGAAAAATAAGGGAGGATTTTGTTCGGTTTTATTGCTAAGTAGCATATTTTTTTGGTAGAAACTGGTGAAAATGAGTAGCAAATCTGGTAAACAGAGGTAAATAAATTGAATGCTCTTGTGTAGCAGAAATGATAAAAGCCTTGTCCAGAGGATTACCACTCAAGGTATGGATTAGCCTGGTTGGGAAAGGTCAAGGGAGAATCAGCTGAAGGATTTCTGTTGAGACTGATGGCAAAGTCAGAATCTGGGAAATTAACCTGTGGTATCTATTTGTTAAAGTTACCGGGATGCTGGGGTGAAAAAAGAAGAGTAATTTGTTGTGTTCATCTCTGGGGAAAAAGGTGAGAAAAAAAATTCTCTGAGTACTTTACTGAAAAGACAAGCTAGAGTTTTTGGTCAAGAATACTGCATTCTGGGTTTTTTGTTACCATTTCCGTAAATGCAGTTGATTTTCAAGCACAGACCAGCGAAATGAAAAGCAACTTATTTGATGTGGTACTCTTACTGGTTTGTTCTTAACAGAAGCAGTCTGGCAAAGTTCAGAATATTAGCTAATGGCTCAGGCAAAAGTGGATAATAAATATTGATCACATTCACAAACTCCAAGTTGGACACATAAATCATTATTTCTGTGGTTGGACAGAAGTGTCTCTTTCTTTACTAATGGGTTTCTGAAATCAATATATATAGAAGAATTCAGAACACTTCAGGATCAAAATGGTGTTATTTACTAACTGAAGGAAGCGTATACATAGCTGAAATTAGGCACCACGATTTTAGTATCTAAGCTGTGATAATAAAAAGCCAGTATTACTTTTCAAGAAAAAAACTTTTAGCAAGATTACCTAAATGCATTATAAGAAAATCTGTAATTTGTCATTGAATATAGGTTTTTACTGATTAGTCACCTACCTAAAAACTTTGCATTTGCATTTTCTGCTTGCTGATGCAAAAATGTTTTAGGTTACTTGTCACAGTCAGTGCAACAAAGAATGTTGTTGAAAGTATTTAGGTTTGGAAGAAATATGGCAGACAAGACGACTGTTTAGTGATTTGTTACAGTTTACTGATTTTTTTACAATTTTATGTCTCTTAGATCTAAGCAATGTGTCTGGCAAAATAATTATGCTTTGAATTTACTACTTGAAACCTTTCATTTACTTATAAAAGAGACTAAAACGAGAAAATTAATCTTCCATTTGATATCATTACTTAACCACATCATTTTGATTTCAGTTATCTACCCATGGAGATGTATAAAACTAAGTTCTCATTGGCACTTTGAATCTAAATAATCAGAGAAAATGCAGTGGTTTGTGATTTCCTGTGTTTGGTTTTTGGTTTTGGGTTTTGTTTGGTTTTGGGGTTTGTTGTTGTTGTTTTTTTGTTTGTTTGTTTGTTTGCTTGCTTTTTTAAATGAACAGAAATTGAGATTGAAAATTTCAAGACTGAAATCCATGCACATTCTCTGATGGTCTTCTCTTTCTCATACATTTTTCTATTTTTATTGTGATCTTGACAGATGTAGAAAACAAAAAGAACACAGAAGCTCAGTTTGGGTTTCTGTAAGATTTTTCCAATGAAACCTAAGGGAAAAATAATTATTTTTTCATTTGCTTATTTTTTTCTGTTACTCATGATTTGCATAGAAAGCCTCAATTAATTGTTTCACTTTGTGACCTGAAAGTCTAGGGTCTGTAATAAAATTAGAAATCATGTAAAGAAACTCGGCAGGCCTGACAGAGGAACTTAATGTTGTCTTCCTTCAGTTACAGATATGTAAGCACTGAAAAAACCTCCAAAGATGTTTGCTGTGAGCCAAAGCTCACAGGTCTGGCACTTTCATATCAGGCAGACTTTGTAGGTCACCTGAGATTGGTTCTGTAGTCAGTTGTTTTGATGAGGATATATTTTTTGTGTTCCTTAAAGCACAGTAGACAAACATCATCACACAGAGATTTCTCTGGGGCTTTTCTGTTTCTCCATCCCCTCTTAAGAGTGTATCTTATACTTTAATCTATTGTTTCTAACTGTTTGTTTAGTTTTCTGGCATCTCTGCTAAAAATGAACATGTAATGCTCTACCATTTCTGATTATCTCATACTGCAGAAAGATGCTGTTTTCAGGATATGAAACATACATGGCAGTTACATAAATAATGTAGGTAGGTCCTTATCTGGTGTACACCAGAGTAATTCTGTTTACTTCAGAGCAGCAGTGACAATTTACACCAGCTGAGAATGTAGCCAAATATCTCCCAAAGTTATCACAAATTTTTGTTTTGCCTTGATCTGCCAAGCAGGGGAATAGGGGACAACACCTGTGAGTCTTAACCTTCAAGGTGACATATTTGAAATAAGTCATGTTCAAACCTTCTTTACAGTCACAGAAACTGTTGCCCTACAGCAATGGAAATAACCTAGAAAAGAAATTGAGTATGAAAGGAATTGCAGTCACATTAAAGTAGCTTTTTTGCTTTTACTTCAGAATTGTCTTTGCTTTTGGGTGTTTGTATCACGTGCTGATGACCTTGAGAGTAGATATATGAAGAGTTTTTCTTCCTTTGGATAGTAATAATTTTCGCATGACTTTTCTTTAGACAACTTTATTGCATAGTGATTCTAATAGGCTGTTACCTAAGACAATATAGTTTAAGCAGAGAATGAAGATTAAAGCCCACATTTGAAAGGCATGACTTTTAAATTCTGTCCTGGTTTTACTTATTATACCCTCTCCAAAGCAGTATTTCTTGTAAAAATTAAAATAGCCCTGTCTTTGTGAAGTCTTAATATTATGAAAAATGAAGTATTTTATGACCATTTTTATGCTTTCACATCAAGAATTTTTCATTTATTTTCAAAGCTCAAAGTATCTTCTACTGTGATAGCCAAGTAAGCTAACCACCTAGTGCTTCAAAGCATACAAAAGGGTACTAGGCACTGCAGTTTGTGATGAATTCAGTTCTTGTCATATACCACCTGCCATGGCATGTAACAGATCTGTAATGGGTTTCTTACCTTTTTCTGTGCAGTAAATGGATTGATAGATTAGGTCTGAGACCAGTGAACCATGGAATCAGAGGTTTGCTGGAAGGAGTTTATTACTCTTTAATATTATTCTTGGTCTGGTGTCAGCCAAGAGCGATGAGCTAGATTATCTGAAAGTAAGCTGGATGCCAAAATCAGCATTCTCCTCATTTATCCACCTTAGTCTTCACAACATCTACTGTATGTATTATGAAGGTTATCATAAATGCCTGATGGAGACATTTTGTTTTGCTGCCTTTTAATTTGTCTGCTAGTATTAGTTCTAATTACTAGACACTGAAGAGAATATTTCACTGTTTATTGCCACAGCAAATCAATTTGTTGTGCTATATGGACAAGAAAAAAATTAGAGTGGAGTGACACAGCTATAATTTGTGAACATTTTCTGTACAACCAGAAAAAGTATAGGTCGTCTTAGCTTGGTTGATCAAGTGTAGAGAAAAACAGATGGGAGCAGAAAGAGCAGAAAGACAAAGTCATTACAAGGTTATAGTTCATGTATTGTAGCTCACCTTGAGTAGAAATTATTCATAGATTACCTGCAGTGACATAAAATTTCCAGCATGTCAGTGCAACTTAGTTTTAGCCTGTAGTTGGAACTACTGCAATTGCCAGTGCTTTTATCTGTGGGGTGGAGGGGAAAATATGTTGGAAAATGAATGCTATAGTTTGATTTCTGTTCTTTCAATTTGAAATTAGAATAGTATAACCAGCATTTTGGGGAACAAAAGGTTGATACTTTCTGAATTTAGTTTCTTTTAATGAGTGACCTGATTCCATTAAATATGATAAAACCTTTTGTTATGCTAAATTACCTGTTACAGTCTGTCATAGATTGCTAATTAGGTGTAGTCCACATTCATGTTATCATCAGCCATATCAACAAATGGTTTCACTATGATAAAATGTGTTTTGATGTAAATGTTCACTGGACAAACATGAGAATGTCACAAGTTCTAAGAAACAAGTATATATAGGCTTAATTTCTTTTTATTGCTAGCAGCTAGCATTAATTAAGATTCAAGAACTTAAGCAAAGAAAAGTATTTAGGAATACAGTCATGCAGGGGTAAAAAAGTATGTACTAACCATGATTAAATAGATGTATGTATGCACACTATATATATCACACTATCTTACCAACCATATTAAAATTACTTTTTGTTGTTGTTTGCCGTACAAATCCAGAATATATTAATCATATATTTAAGAAGTTATGCCAAGTACTTTGAATACAAGAAGTACTAACTGTTGATACATTTGTTACTACATTGGGGTAATATTGATGTATCTGAATAACCAGACATCAAATAAGTCATTTTAGGCAAATTCTTACACATTTTTCTACACTGCGACAACTATATATTTGAGAGTCATTTCACGTATAATGAACAATGGTTTGCATACTGTTGCACACCAATCAATGACAATCGTCTGGGCTTT